TATGTCTTATGCGTTATGCTTTATGCAAAAGTCTGTGCTCCGGCCAATAGTCTGACTTGTTCTCTATCCTGTTTTAGTACAGTCTCAGTGCAGCTAAAAAGAACAAACTCAATGTGTATTCTGTGTATTGCTAAGATGTCGTCTTGATCGACGATGGCTTGTTATATACTCAGTATATTTTATTAAGTTGGTGTATATTGGTGCATATATATTGTGATTCAATAATGTCTTTAACAAAGTAAGAAACTTTTACATTTTGTAAAATTATCGTTAATGTTTATTACATTTTAAATAACATTGAAAGATTATTTTCCCATAATTTTCTATAACAACTTAAAATCAGATATTTTAACCTAAACGTAAAGTTTATAACTTCTTTAATTGTGAAAATTTCATTTCTTTTTACAATTAGCTTATTGCCTGCCCCTACTCAAGTGGTGTGGGATAGAGAGGATGAGGCACGTGAGCAAAAATTACGCCAACGACCTGTCTCAGCACTGGTCAAAGCTGTTGTCACAGCTCCACCTTATGGGCAACGTCGAGGATGGATACCACGCAATCCAGAAGTGAGCATATAATTGCTCCAACTTTTCAAAAAACACAAAAAAATTTTAAATACACTCTTTTTGATCAATATAAATTTTTCGTTTAATTTTATTCAATCACGGATGGTATTCTGAGCATAATATATATTACACGTAGGACTTTGGAGATGGAGGAGCTTTTCCAGAGATTCATGTTGCACAATACCCTCTTGGAATGGGAATTAAAGGCAAGGAAACAACAAGCAATGCTTTAGCGGTCCAACTTGATGCGCAAGGAAAAGTAAAATATGATCTCATAGCGAGACAAGGTCATGGCAAAGATAAAGTAAGCATGAATGTAAATTACATTCTAGCATTCTAAATAATCACTCCTGATTTATATTTATATAAACTAATAATTTAAAAAAAATTATTTTTTGTAGATTGTATATAGCAAATTGAGCGATTTATTACCATCGGAAATTACAAACGAGGAAGATCCCTCTTTACAACGACCAGATGATGAAGAACTGGATGAACTCACAGATAAGACGAAAAAAGCACTAGAAAAAATAACAAGATCAAAAATTGCAGCTGCCATGCCTGTACGATGCGCCGAGAAACAAGCTCCAGCTCAGTACATACGTTATACACCATCGCAACAAGGACAGTCTTTCAATTCAGGTGCAAAGCAAAGAGTTATCAGAATGGTGGAAGCACAAGTGGATCCGTTGGAACCACCAAAATTCAAGTATGTAGAATAAAACCTAGACGGTTAAATTGTGCAAATGGTACAAAAAATTCTAATGAATTAGAAGGGTATTGATATAAAAATTTATAATTGCAGAATTAATAAAAAAATTCCACGAGGACCTCCATCTCCTCCAGCACCTGTTATGCATTCGCCTACGAGAAAAGTGACAGTAAAAGAACAAAAAGAGTGGAAAATTCCACCTTGTATAAGTAATTGGAAAAACGCAAAGGTACTTGGAAATATTTTATGTCTTGTGTATACCTCGGTGTATCACGAAAGAGATAGTAGTAAAATGTAATAAGAAATGTATATTTAATTCTTTCGATAAGAGCGAAAAGCTATATTTGATTTTAGGGTTACACAATTCCATTGGACAAACGTCTTGCTGCAGACGGTCGGGGTTTGCAACAAGTTCACATAAATGAAAACTTTGCAAAATTAGCAGAAGCTCTTTATATCGCCGACAGAAAAGCCCGCGAAGCAGTCGAAATGCGCGCACAGTTGGAGAAGAAATTGGCTCAGAAGGAAAAAGAAAAGAAGGAGGATCACTTAAGGCAACTTGCACAAAAGGCTCGAGAGGAGCGCGCTGGCTTGAAATCCGCGGCGACCTTAGGTTTGTACAGTTGCCGTTCGTTGATGTAAAATAAAAAAGTAAAAGAATATTTCTGGAAATTGAATCACAAAATAGTGATAAAAAAATTAAAACAAATCATGAACAAAATATTTGAATGATTTCCACAGATAAGGCTGAGGAATCACGCGAGAGAGACCAGCTCAGACAGGAGCGACACAAGGATCGCGCTCGCGAACGTAATTTAGCTCGTGCCGCCCCTGACAAACGTTCTCGTTTGCAACGCGAGCGCGAGCGTGATATTAGCGAGCAAATTGCGCTTGGCTTACCCGCAAAGAGCATTCCTAATACGGGAGAAGCACAATTTGATCAACGTCTTTTTAACACTAGCAAAGGCATGGACAGTGGTTATGGACACGATGATGAGTATAATGTGTACGATAAGCCGTGGAAAGATAGCAATTCCATTGCTTCACACATTTATCGTCCAAGCAAGAATATCGATAAAGACACTTATGGAGAAGATTTGGAGAAATTGGTTAAGACAAGCAGGTTGGAATATTTCTCATTTTATGTTCACAGCAACACTTGAGTCAATTTTATTTTGCATAATGGTGACAAGTACGAGTTATATATATTTTTATTTATACTATATATTTTTATACTTTATATTTTATACTTTTATTTTTATTCATGTCATGAATTATTAAAGCTATCGCATTTACTTATTTATTTTAGATTTGTTCCTGACAAGGAATTTAGTGGAACTGACAGATCGGCAACACGATCAGGACCAGTACAATTTGAGAAAGATGAGGAAGATCCTTTCGGTTTGGATCAATTCTTGAAACAAGCTAAACGTGCCAGTAGCTCGACCACGACAACAACAAAGCGCAAAGATGAACGCGAACAGCGCGAACAACGTAGAGATGATCGTGACAAGCGAAGAAAGCATTAAGAACGATTACTACTTAACAAGTGAATTGCATAGAATTCTCGCGGTATAATTATTGACCGTTTATTTCACACAAAAAATTTTCTCAGTACTCTGAATTCTAATAATAATAATAATAACTCTGAGAATAATAATAATAAACGTGTTTTTATAAGTATGATAGTTTTACTTTTATCAGGAATAGAATATTTTCTGATTATTATTAATTATTAATTGTTATAGGATTATGTATATTCCTATTTTGAAATGTTATGAAAGCAATAGTGGATAACACACATTTCAGTATTGTGCTGAGGTCGCCTATCGCATTTTAAACATCTTCAGTATAGATTATTTTTATTTAATTCTTAAAGATTTTGTAAAAGAAATTAATCTATTGCGAGAAAATCTAAAGCATGTGAATCACAGATAAATAATAAAACTTGCTGACACAAGATATTTATCGATATAAACGCCATTATCAATATATATAAAAAAAAAAATTTTTTTTCTTTGTAACAAAATTTCCATAAAAAGTGTGATAATGTAGTATATGAAAATTACACTTCTAACTGCAATTCTGTTCTATTTTTGCTGCTTCAAAGAAGAGCAGATACATTTGGCATTTTATTAAGCAAGCTTCTTAAAGAATTTAACGCAAAATTGCGAGAGAAATGTTACAACTTACCTTAAGACCAGGAGTAATGATTTTCTTCATTTATTCTGTGTTTTATCGTAGAATGATGTAATGTGCTAGGCACACATATTTTTAATCATCAACCGTCTATTTTCGCCGTTACAACATCGAATGAGCTTTTACGAAAAAATAGCATAACAAAAAGACAACTAAATACAAAATCAGAAAGAAATTTAACTTTTAACTTTTATTGAGAAATTAACCTTTTTAATTCATCATGCAAAAGTTAACAGAAAACTGGAATCGAAGATGAATCTGAATTCGTAGTAAATTGAGATATAAATTCTTCCTAGTCTGTTCCTCCTTCATTTTAATTAGCTTGATCTTTTACATAGTATGAAATCTTGGTGCAACAATTTTATAATGAGATCGTATTAACGAAAGATATAATACTATTTCCGTGAGTACTTCACCCAGTTGGCAATTTTCGACACGGACTCTCGTGTCAAAATTGGCATTAGTTTCTCGCAACGCAAAACTGAATCACTGTTTTTAAAATTGAGTGTAAAACCAGAGATTGTCGTTTGGAAGCAAAAGTGAGATGCAAGCGACAAATTCTTTGCGCATTATATCAACTTTGAACAGGTTTGATTAAAATTGTTGGATGTTCATCGATTTGAAGAATTTTCACTACTTGGCTAATCGCCAATCTACGCGCGCGCGCACGTGCCCCCCCCCTTACCCAACCACACACACACACACACACAACGTTAGCACGCTGTCGTGTTTGTTTCGAGATTTTGACTTACCATTTTCGAGTGCCGCTATTTCGAGATGGACATGTCAGCAGACGTGAACCGGATTTTTCCACTGTACCGCCTGCATCAAGTCAATTCTAATGACGAGTAATTATAGAAGATCTAAAGGATGAAAAGACACATATTACTTTTATGGAAATCGAAATCTAGTTGATTTTATCATCAAAAACTAATCCATATCTTGAATTTTATCACTCTTTTGTTATTAAAAAGATAACTTAGAAAAATAAAACAAAAATGATAAGCAGAAAAATTGATTGAGGATAAATATAAGCGTGAATATGCTTTAATAAATAATAAAATAGCAAGTTTAAAAGTGTAATTATATTATTTTATACAAAAAGAGATTTATTATTATTTATTTTTATCTTTGTAGAAAATTTTTATGAAATTTTATTTTTGAAACTTGAACATATGAAAAAAAACGCCGAGTTTCCGGTGCGTTCGAGTAAACGTATCGGTATTTTTAGTAACAGTTTCGACTCCGACACTAATATCCCGTGAACGTACCTAGCGACGGAAGAACACCGCAATGCACCTCTATATGTATACGCTTTACTCTGATTTTATACTGATTTTATTACTTAATACTTTTTTCGTCTTGCAAGGAATCTTGCGTCTTGAGGAACAAACATTTCTCCAGCAAAAATTTGACGTTTCCATGATATTTGATATACAAATTAAATAGTTACATATATGTATATAATGAACGTACATGTGTGCCAAATAGAACATACATATGCGAACGTTGCTTGTAGATATGCACGTAAGTGCATCAAGCACGAAATAGTTCTTGCATGACGAAAAACTGAACACGGATTTTTCGTTAGTCGAAAATTGTATTGGTTTCACAGATCCCAAAAAAAAAAAACAAATCAATATATATAATACAAAATACTATTTTATTATTTTACTCGAGTAACGAAGATTTCATCGACTTTTGTCAAGTGAATTTATCGCTTTCTTAATCGATTAATTGGCTACCGAGCATTTCATCGAGCATTTATGTTGCGCATATATTGAACTTATGTATTATTGTATATAAAATATTAAAGCCAACTAAAAGTTTCCCGAAATTCGAATTAATATTATTGCAAAAATTCACAAAAAATTCTATACATTGCAACAACAAAGCTTTAATTTTAGAAAGTATGACAAGCATCGCATACAAATCGCGCAAATAAGAGTACGAAAGATCGCGCGAAAAAAAGTCGAATAACAAAATTCCAATATTTCTCTCATATTTACATATACGTATACTTCTCACACTTGAAACGCATGCAAGTACGATATATTTGCAATCATTATAACTATTATTTTTGCAAATTATTCGTGCGACTTCGTCGTGTGGATCGAAAGACAAAACTGTCGCGAGATCGTCGAAAAATTACAGCCATCACGCAAGAGATTTATTTTTCAGAAGGGGGATAAAGAGGATTTTCACGTCGGGACCCATCAACGCTATCCACCGTGACCCAATTATTGCATTTCTCAATTGGATCGGGAAGCTTTCGTGCGCTCGAGAAAAGATCATGCGGGCTGTTCTCAACGTGTCGCCGCTGCGTAAGAGAGACCGACCCGAGAGAAGGAGGATATGTATCACGTGTTATTTATAAGTTCGATGCGAGGGTCGGCACTTAACCTTGCCCGACGTGGACCGTCAGGCATGTCACCTAGCCGTTTTATTGCGACTGTGCTCCCTGCGACTGCTCGAAACGCGGTTCCAATTGGGTCAGATCCACGTCTGCTTTTTGGAGCATTTCACGAGTTGTCAGTGACAGAAGCTTTGAAGGCGGATTAAACTCGCGCCACCTCTCCTCGTCCATTCTTCTTTCCACGACAGAATAGTACGTCGTAATAATTTATTGCAACAATTTGACTTTTTGAGTCTCCCCTCGCAACCTAATCGCGTGTCGCGCGATTTTGAAATCTTTCAAATGGTGTTTGTAAAGAGAAATTTTTTTCTCGAGCAAAATTAGATATAAATATAACAATTTTATTCCTTTAGAAAAGTGATGGGATACAATGAGAATAATTACGTGCTGTGAAAGCTTAAATTCGTAATCTTTAATGTTTGATTAATTATCAAGCACATTAACTTTATCGTATAGATAAAATGAAAAACTGTATATTGTCGGTAGGATTATGAATCACATAAGATATACGCGGCACGTATGATTGAATTTATAGCATACAGATACAGCGACATTGTAAAAAATCGATTTTTGCCAAATCACGATTGATAGTTAATCGTTTTGTAAACACAATTCTACAATTCCGACTGCACGAGCGAGCTATAAATGCTCGCTGGTAATGAGCTAAAGCTAGTAATGAGAAGGAATATGTATAATTAATCTTTCTGCAGTGCTTCCAAGTTCAAAGAATAAATGAACGGACCACGAGACTGGCGATAATCAAGACGCATGTTTGGATTATCGAAATAATTCAACTATGATTTCTACCGTAGAAATGCATTCTGATATCTTTCTTTTTGCTTTTGGAAGAAAGTAAAAGATCGGTATCTAAAGTTTCTCCTTGCTATCTAAACTTTAGATACCGATCTGCGAAACTTTCGATCAATAATCTAATGCATATTTTGCTTTACTTTCTGAATTCGACTATTATAGTTCCAGCAATTTCTATTAAAATTTTCTCTTTCCATTTTTTATAGTTAAAGAATTATCACGATATTATTCTTCTTGGAATTTCAAAGTATGTGATATCTCCAGAATTATATAGAAAGATTTCTTATACACATACATATAAATGTGTCTATGTAGTACCATATCTCATAGATGAGATAAAATACACAAGTCTATCTTTTCTACACAACTTTGTGCACATATGCGGAAAATATCATTTATGAATTGTTGGTTTTTTTTTCTTTTATTTACGCCATGATATAACCCGCTAATAAGCAACAAAGACAAAAGAGGCAATTTACAGCAAAACCAATTATATTAGTTTCCGTTCACCAAAGTATTGTAAAATGAATAACGCTAAGATATCGTCTGAAAAAAATACGCAAAATCTCAAACACTGAAAATGAGAGAATCGTTTCGAAGATTTCTGGAAAGCAAAGAAGAGAGGGAATTTCCGGGTGCTTTTCCTGTGAAAGCTCTGTAAAAAGAGAGAATGCAAAGTAACAACGATATTTCATTCTTGCTTTCGTTTTTCTTTGCGAGTAAAGAATACAACGATAACGAATGCTCACCATATACCGCTAGAATCTTGATGAAAACAGACGCGAGAAGAGATAACGTGTTCGGAATAGAGGGAATATCTCGATCGACGAAAGTCGACGCGGAAATTTTTCAGAGATCAGGTCCCGTTTATGACATTTTTTCCCGTCAACATACTAAAACCTTGGAATTTTCAATAAATATCGATAATAAAGACATTATGGCAACTTGCTACCAACCTTCCATCTTTTATATTAGCTTCATAATTTTGTATATGTATATATTCTGCATAAAAGATGTGAATTGCTGAGAAATGTAAAAAGATGTGAAATATGACGAAAGATTCCAAGTAGTGTACCAGTTGTAGTTACCATTAGTAACATTACTGCATCTGCGGTACATCTTTCGCTTTTAGCGGAAAACTTGATTCAATTTACGTAAACGGTGGTCGATGCAAAAATTGGAGCTTCGAGAGCTGCGTTTCTCAAACAAGATTTTCAAAGTCGCTGTATTTTTATAAACTGAAATGTCTCACTGACACTAGCAAAAAGTTAATCAGTATCAGCAACATCTGAAGCAGCGCGCTCGCTCCATCTCTGCCTCTACACTTCGGTACAACGCGCTCATCACCAGGACCACGCCCTCGGCGAAGAACCGACGCCGACGCCGACGCCGTCGTCCCTTTCTCCCCTCTTGAGCATCTACTCCCGTCGCCGCTCGCCCTCTCTTTTCCCCTCTCACTGTTGTACTCTCTATCCTTCTTTCTCTCCCAATGGCCCCCGTGTCCCACCCGACGCCTCCGTGCCAGCCAGCCTGACGGCCCCCCAGGATCTCGTCAGAGCGACTCGACTCGTCGTCGACGGTGACTCGCGCGTTATTCCGCGCTAGTCCGCCACCAACCTCGCGATCGTCTATTTCGTCACCGTCACCATCACCGTCACCGTCGCCGTCGCCGCCGTCGCCGTCGCCGTCGCTGTCGCCGCCCGTCGTCTCCGCCCGTCGTCAACATCGTGTCGTTTCGCTGGTGGTGGTGGTGGTGGTGGTGGTGGTAGTGGTAGTAGTGATAGTTGTATAGTATTAGAAATCGTAATAGTGGTGTGGTAGTGGTGGTAGTGGTGGTAGTGGTAGTGGTGGTGGTGGTGGTGGTGGTGGTGGGTGAGAATGATCAGTGCGCGCGCGAGAGAAAGAGAGGGAAAAAGCCGGAAACCGAGCGCTCGTGAAACGTCCGCGCACGCAACAAAGTGACAGTCGTTGACATCGGGAGGGGACCGGCGATCCATCGATCTCTAGTATCCCGAGATCGGTCGATTCGTGGGATCGAGAAACGCGCGGTCGCGCGTCACGTTGCGTTGCAACGAGGGTGTCTTCGTTCGAGGGTTGTTACTTGTGGATGACACACTGGGGTGGTGGTGCGAACGGAGAACCCTCGCGGTGCGTGGTGCACCGCTGCTGATCGAAGAGGGGAGTCACCGTGGTCACTGGTGATCCTCCAAAGACGCCTTTCATCGAATCCCTCGAAGAATCGCACGGAAACGCGGAGCAGAACTCGTGTCCTCTCTAGTTTATCAAAATTGGAAGCAGCTACATCATATGGTACGTTGTGACAATTTGGTTTGTAACAGTATATATGTCGTTGAAGAAAAGTCTCGTGGAGTCTGTAGTGCGGAAGATTAGTAGCATGGATTGCGTTGAAGCGCAAGTGTTTGGGCTGATATAATGAAACGGAGTAGTGATGCCTATGCATCAATGAAATGTCGAATGCGACTAGTCGGAGATTCACAGCTACGGTAAAAATGTATAACTTTGTACGTGAGAAATGTGCGTTTCTCGTGAAAGGCGAATGATGAGACAGACTATACGCTAAACGTTCAAGAGTCTGAGGAAAATCTTTTTTTTTAATTTGATTTTTATTTTAAAGTATCGCGTGAAAGGTTTAAATTATGCATATGTCAAGAAATATTTACGAAAAAGATCTATATATCATAAGAATACATTCATACATAAATATAAAAAATAAATTGATAATACAAATATAATCATTGATCATTCAAAGAAAATCCTAACTTTTTCACATTTCAAAAATGATAATTATCTTTGAAGCTGATCAAAAAATCGCAGAGTAAGCGTCTACATGTTTTTTATTTCTTATAATTTTTCACTGTAATTTTTCTTTATGTATTATATAACTGCACGAAGGGAAAGAAACGAATCCCTGACGAGTTCACAGTGCCGTCAATTCCGCAAAGATATAACTTATTACATTCGTGTTTCTCTTCCGCTGCTGGATGGAAAATATTCGTGAACGCGTTTCCGCCTTGTTTTCGATGTTGTGACGTAGCAGTGAGACGAAACGGCAGTTCGGAAAAGCGTGAGACTTAACTAGGTGGAATTTTAATGTTTCCACGAAGAGAAGCCGCCGCGAAATCTTGTAATTAACATTGCTGCATGATTGCGGAATCGAAAGAAATAAAATGTAAAAGCAACGTCGACGCAATTTTTGGTGATAACGGGACGGGAAGTAATAGCGGACCACACTCGGAAAATAATGAGACATCGGATCGCGACGAGATGAAATTTAGGTATGATACTTTAACGTTAACTAAATTTCATTTTGTTGCTCACAAATTGTGATTTAGAGAGGAAGGATTAGAGAGTTAATTAATTGATTGTTGATATAATTAATCCTTTTGAGCTCGATGATGGTCTTTGTTAATTAATTATCATTCGTGTGATACCCCGTTTTTTATTCTAGTTTCGAACTAGAATACGTTTTAAACTGGACTGTTCATAACTTGAATGTAATTTGATAGTGCTCAATAATAAACAAAGATTTTACAAAGACAATCGATCATTGCTAATTACAGCTAAATATTGTTTATTCGTTTTACTAACAAATTAGGTAATAAAAGATTATAATTACAGGTAATAAATAATGATAAATTATCCATTGGTAAAAGAACGTATGTATACAGACTTGGATGTTTTAAGAGAATTAAACCAAGAAATTTATTTCGCACGTATAGTAAATATGTATCTGACACACATACACACAATTGGCGAATATGTTTACCGAAGCCGAGTAAGAAATTCATCATCGTAAATTTATTATCTTATTTACTCGCATCAACGGTTATGTTTGTCGGTGAATATTGGATGCGAGCTCCGCGATAATATAGAAAGAAATTCAAGTCCGGATATATATTATATGTAGTATACAATACAGGTGAGCGAGAATAGGATGGAACATATATATATATATATATTCGATGATTTTCAGATTTTTACAAATTCCTTCTAATATGAGCGTGAACGGGAACGGTTGGTTTAGCACGGTTTAGTCGTGTACAAAAAAATTGACCTTAATATAATCTGATCTAATACAATGATGATTAACGGGGGAAACATATTGAATTTAAAATGGCATCATGTAAAATTATAATAGTAAATTGCATAATTAACAAAATGCTATTAAATTACTTGCCGTGTTATATCCGTTACACGTGTTCACTTATACTTATCTATTTTACTCTATTTTTGAATACAGAGAGAATATAATATTTAAAGCGTCTATTTTGCGAGCGTCAATTACGAACACATATTTTGAGTTTTGAATTATCTGTATCTGCAAATAAAGATATAGTCATAACACGACTTACGAATTCGAAATGATAATCAATTATGTGTATTCACGCGTGCTTCTACAAGCATAGAAATTTTAGCGACTATTGAGCAAGGACGAGCGTTAAGAGCAGCCAATCTATATATAAGAGAGCTGTAATTCTACGGCTTAAGCGCGTTTACGTGGTTGTTATTTCTTGATAAATTATCCGGATATGCATTTCGTGGAAACAAGATTGTCGCATAGCGTTTTCTCGAATTTACAAGATGCTAGATGCGCTATACATATGACGTTTTCTTCTTATTCCGGTTACTGATTTCAAAGAAAATAAAAAAAGCTAAAACGTCAGTTATGTTCTTTGATTTTTGTAACGATGACAATCAAATCGTTGTTAAAATAGTGGTTGGATCTCATAATAATTTATTGAGCAAAATGCGCAACCTGCACCAAACCTGCACCAAATCTGCACAAAATCCCACAGCTGATAACAACCAAATATTTATACTTGTGTAAAAATTAATTTTAAATTTATTATTTAAAATCTAAAATGTTCCAATTATACGAGCGGAAAAGAAAGAATAGTCCCACTTGCTGCGATTTTCATCATGAGAAAAGAAATTGCGATTGCTGTCGCCTTGAGTACGCGAAAGCATGTGCACTGAAACAACTTCGAAATGACTTTGATCTCGAAAGTGGCTAGTATGGAAGCCTATGGAACGCGAGAGTTACGAAATCTTTCGCATTAAAATATAAACAGTCACTCGGCAGTTAAGTTCAAATTTTCTTTTAATATCGAATAAATAATTTAAAATGGGGTAAATGAATTGATGCAATCTCAGAAAATGGTATCTTGTATCATCATATGTTTGTGGATTTAAGTTAATGTAGATACAAACAGTTGTAGACTGGTTTCTCCAATGGATCAGTCTGTTTTCTGATCGAATAACTATTGAGATGCCGCCAAAATTCAATATATTCTACTGATTAGTTGGGTAAATCTTTTTAAATCTATTAGTTGGTATTTTTTTTTAATTCTTAAATATACAAAAATATTAGCCTTTCTTATTGCAATCAATTCTTTAAAAACTTAAAAATTGTAACATTCAAACATCTGAAATTAAGAAATGCGAAATTAATTTTACCCATGCTAATGCTATTCTACGATGACTATTTGATCATCGTACGAGATGAGAATAAATAGATAATTTTCGTCGCTGTGCATCGATTTGACGCGAAGCCAAACATTTGGGTTTTGTTTGCTGCGCTCCATTATTGATTTTGGTACAACACTGGTAATTCGGTGATATTAGAATACCACGAAGAAATTTAAATCAAAAATTGTATCTTGATAATTTTTCAATATTCCTTCGAGCAAATTGCATACCACCGAAATGATCGAAAATCAAGAGAACAAGTTCTTTGGTACATTCGATGAATATTAAAAGTTTTACCGCATAAAAACATAGACTTGTTTCATACTAATCATTTTTCCTATTTTTCTGTGTGTAAAAGGTGAAAAGTGAAAGGTAAAAGTATAGAAATAAGTAAGAAACATAGTAACGTCAAATGGAGCGCAAAGCTGAAATAAAATCAAAAGCTGCGATCGTTAGTTAATTTTCCTTTGTAAGAAATGAAACCGAGATAACATTGGCACAATCGCGTTTGACCCACATTTAATGGAACGACAACAACCTTGAATAAGTCGATAGAGTAGTGAATAACTGAACTGCCTCTGAAAGAAGCAAGATTGATTGCTTACAATCTTATTGATTGTGATTGCTTACAAAACGTTTAAAAATATCAATACAACGAACAAAGACGCCCACGCGAAACTTTGAAAACTTTTGCTCATGAGGTAACGATATTCTTTTCGTTATCTATGAATTCTCAATGACTTGTGTATTCAAATTATAAAAATTGAGATTTTTCTCTCATAGAACAAAAAATAAGTAATCTTTCTTGAAGTAAAAAATGAGATTGAGTATGATATAATAGATATTTTGCTAAATATCCAAAGATTAGATCAACAAAAATGATTAAAAGATAGTAAAGATACAGATAGTGCGTAAAAATTCAATTAATCGTAATCCATAATGTCTGAATTTTTTTGTCACATTAAATACTGCATACATAAATAATTTATTAACTAAAATATTAATTCAAGAGGCATTGAACTAAATTTCATTAATGTGTGAATATAGTTAATGCATACATCAATAACATACATCGATGACAGTAAATAACGAGACAGCAAAAGCTCGAATATAAACACAAATTAATCTTTGGCAGAGTCAGATAACATCTGGCGTGTGTGATGGCAAAAATTTGGAATCTATGTGGCTGTTCAACGTGCGACTATAATGCGAGAAGTGTCTCTATCTACGAATCTTTTTTGAATCTTTTTGCACCATTGTTCTCTCTCCTGATCAAACGCTAGACGATAAAATAGAATCAGCGATTCTTAAAGAAAAAGGCGACAGCATAGGCAAAAACAAAATATGTTCTGATGAAAGGATATACAAGAGAAAAAGGGTGGTCTTCTTCTCGCCTGCCGCTATGAAACAGCAATTTGTGCAATATTAAATATTTTTAGGTCTAAATTTGTGCTTTGTGGGCGTGTAAACATATATAAATATGGCATGAATACGAATGCATACATTCACTCTGCTGTGATATTAGAGCGAATGCTTTATGCGAAATTCTTTTTGTAAGCCAGATTGCTCGATAATAATTAGTAAATAAAAATCATTATCTTATTAAATTTACATCATCAACAATCACAATTGTTGCAAATTAATCATCAACTTTTAGATTGCAAACCGATAAAATACATTTTCAGCTCTTTCCGCTTGGTCGAGCGTAATCTTCGTCTGCATAATTATAATATTAACTGATTTACCTATGGGCGTGTCCCCGAAATCCGGGTACAGAGAAATAATTCGCTATCTAGTTTCGGTCGATTAAGCAAATAAAGCAGTCGGCTGTTCTACCATGATATACTCGTACTATAATCATTAATCGCACATGGTTAGAAGTTAATAATTATAATTTATATATATGTATATAAACCAGATAGAATATTTAATACCGTAGGATATAATTTTACAAACATTTTGCAATATAGAAATTAATATTTCGCATGATATAAATAAATTTCACTAAATTCTAAAACTTGCACAAATTTTATTTAATACAAATTACGTTTAACAAAATGCACTAAAACGCGGTGCAAAGGAATCGAATTCCGACCGATTGAGCAAATCGCTATTTATAATCGTACACTCTTCTGCGATGTAGATGCATTATTAATAAAAACAATGAATTTTTAGATGAATTTGCATTTGATAGAAAATGCTGTAAAAATAATTAAGCAGAATAGTTGTATGTTTCACAGAATAGTTGTTAATCGCGCGAGATGTTCCATCAACCCCCAATTTACAAAGTTATTGTAGATCCGGCAAAGTAACTCTTAGGCTGCTTTTAATATCATCATTTCTCAGATTTCCCTGAAAATGCAATTAAAAGTACGGTGCTATTAATGAAAAATGGAGACATGGACGAAATTTACCGAGTGTATGCAAGTACAATGAAAGTGCAATGAAGTAGACGATCATAGATTATTAGCTCATCTACAATTAGAATATAAAAGCGTATATACCCGGCAGAAAGTTTTTCAAAAATATTGTAATAAACTGAATATAATTACAAATGATTGCAAAAGATTGCATTTTAAAGCTTTATCTATAAATTTGATTAATACTCGTGGCGAGTCTCTTGTAACTTTCCGCTATTCTGCTAGGTATTCTGCAGTCGAATTTCTCGATTTTGTTACAACACAAGGTGAGGGAAGATTAAAAAGCACTGACACTTGATTCGTTAACACTGCTTACGATCATCGAGAGCGACACGCGTAAGAGGTTATTAACTTATTACGTCGCGCTGATAAATATAGGCGTCGAGGAAACGCAAGAAAACACAACACGATCTCTTGCGTCAGCTAGCCAGCTAGCTGAACCGAGTGTCTCTATTCTTTGTCACGACGCGTGCAACGATCATAGTCGATCAAAAGGCGAAACGTTGCTTGTTTTAGACGCTCATCGCGGTTCGTCTGTGAAATTTCGCGGAAATCCTCGCACGAGCGCTATTACTCGGTAAATCTTTTGGAAAATGATTAAAAAAAACTAATTTGTTTATCAGATATCCGAAAAAAAACATGCAAGTGTCTTTAAGAGGATCTTTAATTACTTCTTGTCACTAACATTGTTGGAAATATTTTTCTGGGAAATTAAAAAATCGCGTTTTAATCTCACAATCAGTGGATGCTATAGTTTTTTAAATAACAAACTATACGTGCTTACGCGTCACTCGGCACGTTCCCAGACGCGATGGATCGTAGCGAGGATGATGACAATCCTTCGGAAGACAGTGGGTGTGTTACAACAGAGTGTTGACTGGTTTAAAACGCTCTTGACACACACACACACACACACACACAGACACACACACACAAAAGCTATTGGGATATGTAAATATTAGGAGAGGAATATTCGCGATTTATCTTTTTTCAATGTTTGCATTCTTTCGTTTTTCGCAAAAGTGATAAAAATAGAATATATTGTCAAGTTATGTATTACCGGCCTTGCTCGTATGTGGGCTCGTATGTTATTGATATTAAATATATTTTTCTATTATTTAATTTCATTATATATTTATATGTATACATCTCAAAGTCTATAATGTTGGAATGTTTTATTTTTGCCGGGAAATTTCTTCTCCAAAGAAAAGCAATAAAAATCGGTCGAAATATGTCGCTACAATTATTAAAAGGCATCGTAAACGCCAAAAATGTAAAATCTTTTAAAATAAAATAAATATAATAGAATCAATTGATTAAAATAAAGTTTCCTTCTATTATGCGTAGTATTTTTATAATTGTATCTTTACATAGTTATGCAAATATTCTTTTAACATGTTGTTTCGACGCTCTGTAAAATTGACTTTATTATTATTATTAAATTTATCTTTTCTTTCTTAATTTTGCAGAATATGTCGTCTCTACGAACTCAATCGATGGGTGGTGGAGTTCTTGGTTTGAGTAGTGTCGGTTCCGATCGTACGGGCGCAGCCTCGACTGCTGCCGGTTCGCATTCTCACTCGCATAGGAAGCATCATCATCACCATAGAAGCAGAAGCGCACCCCGGGCACCAGAGAAACCGCCTAGAAAGCGTCATCTAAATCCCGGACAGAGTCTCGCCTCGATTCCCAGTCAGATCAAATTGTCGATGCTAAACAGCGGTCTCATCTCCTTCGGTAAGTCGACTTGATTTCCTCTTCTCGCAATGAATTACTATCGCGTACCCCAAATTAATCCCAGGCAACATTAAAGTGATGGAGAAAAACATTTTCCAGATATTTAAAAAAAAGATGCTCTGATTTTCCAAATCTTTCAATCGACTTTCTATGCTTCTCTTTATTATCCGCACTAATGTGCATAAATGCATGTGCGTTATATACAATAACGAATTATAAACGACGAGAATTGTATACAGCACGAGCAGAAGAATGAATTAAAAAGCAATCGATGCTGATGGTATTGTGTTATGGTATTTTTATCGGTATTTTACGGCTTGAATCATTTGACAAATGAAAGCCTTGATCCGATTGGTGGTGATTTGTGCAACTTTCGCATTAAGCGTAATAAATTATTAATATAAATAAGATGTAGTATTAACAAACAATGCTTTACATATTTTTCAAATCGATACGTTGGGTTCTCGTTTACTCTTTTAGCTATGATCATGAATGTATGCAATATGATGCAGTGAAGCTGTGAACAAAATGAATATTTCATTGAGGACGAACAAAATGTATAATACTAGCTTCGTAAATACGAGATACTGCATCGTTGCACGTTGAAATTGCGTGAATTTTCGCGTCGGTATCGTAAATGCATTTTCCACTAGGTTGAATTTTATGTATTCAGGTCACGAAATCTGAAGACTCCTACTTAACGACTGCGCAATTGACACTCGATAAAGAACATCAAGCGCATAATTTCATAAAGCTGAACGCGCTTTCTCTCTCTCTCTCT